GAACATGTGTGAAATTTCTTTACAGGTTGGAAAAGATCATACTATTTTAATGCTGTGCGTTACTGTGTTCCTGAGCTATCTTCCTGAAGCAGGACAATATAGTTGTATATTCGTTTACTTAAAATTGGCTATGGGTTTTTCCGGTTTCATGGTAGCAATATTTATCGCCGTGGTGGGCATTCTGAGTGTAGGAGCGCAAATTATATTAGGGCCCCTGATGAGGACACTCGGCAGCAAACATACTATAATGCTCGGTCTGTTATTCGAAATGTTACAGCTCATGTGGTATGGATTTGGCTCACAAACATGGTAATTATTTTATTTATTAAATTATTTCTTTATTTGAACTATAAAAATATTTTATTGTAATGATACATCAAAGTTTCAATGATAATAAATCAAAATTAAGTAAAACGATGTCTTATCAAGCATTAATTACTTCAAGGATGATGTGGGCTGCTGGAGTACTCGCTTCTGTATCGAGCATCACATACCCTGCAATTTCCGCATTTGTATCCATGCATTCTGATGCCGATAAGCAAGGATTAGTACAAGGTATGGTAACTGGAATGCGTGGTCTCTGCAATGGATTGGGTCCTGCGATGTTCGGCCTCATATTCTATCTTTTTCACGTCGATCTTAACGACGACCCGCCCAACCTCCCTTTGAAACCGTCGTTCGTGGACGAAAACAACAGAACGGGAACTAGTACACATCTTGATATAATGCCTCAGGTACATACATTATACCTACAGGTAAGCATATGATTTCTTTTTGTTAATCTGTTTATTCTATTTTATACGTACAATATTAGTTATTTATTGAAAAGAAAGAATCAATATATTTATGTGTATATAAATATGAAAATAGATATATTGATTGAAACAAAAATCGAATGTTCGTTAAATTCTATTTCCAGCTTGTACCGGGGCCGCCGTTCGTGTTTGGCGCGTTACTTGTGATCTGCGCGCTGCTAGTAGCTGCGTTTATTCCCGAATCAAATACGATGTCAACAGGATCGTTGCATCATCCATCCACTTCCCGGAGGCCCTCCGGTAAATACGCATATCAGAAATGTACGTTACAGGTTGTCAAATATGCTAAAATGCCAAATATGTTTATGGTGATGGGATTCATCGAAAGTGTTTTGAATTTTTGTCGACTTATCAAGTAGCGGCGTTACGAGATTTATGCTCGGAATTTTACATTTTACAAAATTATATATAGCAAAAATTTCAAAGATACAATATTTATCATTTATTATGTTGCGCAATGTAAGTCTTAAATGTTTCTTATTTTAGGTTTATCATTGGATGTTCAATATGAAGCAGACCGAATGGGAAGTGGAAGAGGAAAAATCGGTCCGCTATCACCACTAGTCGACAATTGTAATTCCGCCGCACTATAATGTCTATTAAAAAATGTAAGACAAGCCATATAGCATACGATGAGAATACTTTAGCCAAGCGCGGTAAAGCTTCACCCTTAATCAGAAGGGGAAAGGTGGTTACTATGAAAAATGCACCTGACTCGAATCAGGCGACTGTAATAGAGTTGTCTATATTGTATTATACTATTCGTTTAAGGCAGTAACTAAGCTTAATTTTAGGACTTATTGATGGAACTTAATGTTTAGGTTGTGACAAATTTGCGCAAGCAGTGCTTGTGCGATAATAACGTGGGTTGATCTCAGAGTCAAATGCAATCGCACGACAAACGTGTTATGTTGTGAAGACATAATTGTAAAAGATGTTAAATTAGATCTTCCTTTTCAAGATTCTTACGCCGATTATTAAATCCGATGTAATAATTTTATGCGATATACCAGTGACTCTTTACGCAGCTCGCCAACGGCACAAAACGATACATCATTGAAAGCTGTATATATATATAATCAGTATTTTACTAGATTTATACCTTTAAATGATCGATCCTTTACTTTGATGTCGTATCCTTTTCTCTTGTTTCTAATTTATGCTACCACTTTTTATATCAAGTGCTAATGTAAATTACGCAACGTATTTTTGCAACTCCGTACATTCATAGCACTAGAAATAGCTTTTACACATTCCTTGTAAGCATAATTTTTGCATAAAAAACAGCATTATTTGATATTGAAAAGGATGCAATTCTTTGAACCGTATTTTCCTTTTGTATAGATACCGCGATATTACTTATCGTTCTTGTATATCACACACATCACATATAATTTAGCCGATATTTATAGATCATGCGACTCTTTTTGCGTTTCTTACTGCACAAACTATTTATTTTAATAGGTAGAAACTATGAACGTAACAAGAAAGGCCTCAACATACTAGAAGCAAGTTATACAAAGTGATAGTTTGCATTCAAAGGTAATGGTAGACACGTCAATATTACGAATAAAAGAATTAAATTATTAATTATCAATTGAAGATTGATAGTTCTCCTAAATTATGTGTGTTATAATCGGAGTTATTGATGTTAAAACGTCAAAAAAAGTTTTATAATAGAGTAGATATCTGTATATATTTTGTCTCTATTTTATAAAAATATCAAAACTTTTAGGAAAATAATGTTTTGATATAGCAGTATAATTGATTTATATCATATAAAAATTCCGATTGTGTGTGAAAGATGCGGTTTGTCTTTTTAATTTATATTGTTATTAGTATGTTTATATCAATAGTACGTTCACACAAGGAATAACATTTAAAATTAACTTGTGGGAAACGACAAATAATTTTAGTTACTGTACTGGATTGATCTTAAAGTCATTTTGCTCTTAACCTCGATTAGTCTCGATGAAAGCCAAAGAGTGATTAATGACAAATGCAAATTAGTCAAAAAATAATAAATCCAAAAGTTTCTATAGATACTCGCGTACTACAATGTACACAGTGCATCCCTATCACATATTAAGAAGAATCCTTCCTTGATAATTTTCATTTCCTAAATTTTGTTTTTTGTTTTGCACATGTTTATGATTATCTCCCAAAAAAGTTCGAAATTACATCAATTATCCATCAATTATTTGATGGATATTTATTGGATGATATTAATGCTGAATTTTCTTATAAATAAAAATAATAAATATGTACTTGATACATATTTAATTTTAACTTTACTTTTATATATCTGTTTGAAACAATTTAGTAAATATCGAAGATTCAGTCGACATGGCTTATAATCTTTGCCGAATATATTAAAATTATATGCGTTTTTTAGAGAATCTAGCTATGTCACAGTAAAGTATTACAGGATGAAGTAGAAATCGTGGACAAGTGTAAACAGTGCAATTACAGTTTTAGTTTCTGTTTGTATTTTCTTAGAGTTTTACTTACGAAACTCGCTCTCGTACACTGAAGTAAATATATGCAATTGTATTATAAATATACAAAGCAAATTGGAAAATTATAATACTAAGGATGAAACATAGATTATAAGTCTTAACTCTGTTACGAGTTAAGTAATTGTATAATGTATAATGTACGATGAATGCATTAATAAAAAGTGATTATTTTTAAGATAAATGAGAATATCACTTGAAAATTTTACATTTATACAACTTTCCAATATATCAGTTGAAGTTAATAAATATTTGAAACATATCCGGTACTCAAACAATGAATCGATTGTATAAATTTAGATATTTTGGCGAATAATTTAACAAAAAAACTTTTAGTGAAAATATAGTCTTATTTTATGTACAATAGTAAAATTTATAATATATATTTATTTAAACCATCTTTAACTATTCATATTTATGAATATATTTATGAAATATATATTTATGAAATTTTCCAAAAATAAATCAGTATTACATTTTATAATTCGATTAAATCTTTTATTTTCTTTTTTCTGCTTTTCTATATCTTTAACATTATTTTCACATTTATTGTATTAATTTCGTTGCAATTATTCCATAACATCTGGGAGAAAGTGTTGGATTAAATAAACGTATTACAGCAACTTTGGAACACTGAATATTATTTTGTAGAAATATTATTCTGTCTAACATGATTGCAGCTTCTATTACTGAGCTCATATATATTCTTAGCATCTGAAAGAGACGCAATCGTAATTTGAAATGTATATGATTCTGATATATTTTCTGCAACGCATAAGTGGACGGTATCTAAAATCATACAATTCTTAATATTTCTGTTGGCACATCGGAAAGGATGAAGAAATAAATCTACTTCATGCACACCTGCTCCTTGTCAAGTCCAATTTTGGACAGCGCATATTTTGCGTAATCCGCGAAGTTATTCAATGGTCCCCCACGACCTATTTTAGCATTGTAATATCCTATTAAAAAATATATATATATAAATTAATATTTAAACATATTTATATTATTATATACCGACCCATAGAATGTAGAATAACTTGCAGTACAGCTCTATAAAATAACGAAGGTGAAAGATCCTTATTATGTCTACTCCTTTCAATAGATTGTTGAGCCAACATTCTGGCATTTTTACTAAAATTCCAACATCCGCTCAATGTTTCATCCGCTAAATGGTAACAGCATGGAACTACGAGAAGCAAATTAATATCCTTCGTATGTAAGAAAGCTTTAATTACAGAATGCACAAGCATTCCGCAAGTATGTAATCCTGTCAAAATGAGATTTCTGTTTATGCCCCAATCAGGATAACATGTATTCACCATTTCGTTGTAATTAGTCGTGTCGTCTAACTTTTGAACTATATATTGAACCTAAAACGGACGTAAAAACGTGAGAATTTTTATAACATTTTGCTACAATCGAAAATCAATTTTCATGAACCTTTGTTAGCGATCGTTTCCTTTTCTGAATTTTTTCTTGACGATTTATCGCACTTTCATAACAAACTGACGACGAATCAATTGCCAATACAGGAATATCAAAATGCTCCGATAAATATGTCGACAAATAAGCTTTCCCAGCTCCGGCGTCTATTACTAAGCTATGAGTGGAAAGTGTCGTTTGGGCAATAACTTTTCCAAGTATTTCAATTTCGTATGACTTCTTGATATTCATGAACTCGGACTTGGAACGAATGAATCTGTTCTCGATTGATCGTTCCTTGAAGAATTGTGGTAACAGTTTTGGTAAATCATCCACGCACACAACAGCTGAGCATGATTCTAAGGAAAGTGATCTTGTTAACTGTATAAAATTATTTAATTCCGTGTCTGCATTGTTCTCTGCCCAGATATTGTCATTATCAATATTTTCAAGCTCAGATCTAAGTTTCTCTGGCAAGCACTTGTCCCACAATCCTTCCGTAATAAAATCAACCAGATGACAATCCATCAATTCTTGATAGATACCAAGAAAGTCTAATATTTTCTCAAAGTGCCGATTATATTCCGTCATCATCTTGTAATATTAAAATTCGAGTTTATCTGCCTCCGGATATAATGGACTGATTTTTGCTAGCGAACAAAACTTGGCATATTTAAATTTAATATCTTCTACTGCTTTTAAAATGTCCAGATTATCATCTTGGTGATCAGGCAGAGTGCTGCGAATATCTTCTAAAAGTTTTTTGGCTATCGCCGTCGCTTTCTCACATTTAGCTTTATCATTATTCTGTAAATAATGTTCCAAGACCCCGCTGTAATATCCTAATTGTGCTGCAATTATGCTGGCCCTATGGTATCCAAGATGATATCCCTTTAGCAATTGCTCCTTGCCACTTTCATAGCCTTTCTCATAGGCTGATTTCTGTGCGATTTCTTCTGCGAATAATAAATCCTCAAAGGCTTTGTTTACATCCAGATCCTTCTCTTCCTGGGACATAATTATATTAACTAAAAAAAGCAATCACGAATTATATCTCTCATCGCACAGAAAAGATACTTTTATAATAATGTTCTTTTAATGTCTAGCGTACTTACTTTTCTTTAATTGCCATAATATGGTTTAAAAAAAAATTATAAGAAAAAGAATTGTTCCAAGCTCGAATTGCTGCACGTAAATTAACGAGAATAACGAATCATAAGATAAGTCACGCGTATGACATTCATTAGATCTACGAATGTATATAGAACTATGATGCAGTGTCGCGGGGGTATCGATAATAAATGGTAATGAGAACAATTACATGTAGTTGTCACATATAAAAACAATGTTAAGTTTCTCGATGTGAACGAAATAACGTAATAAAAATCCAGAATTTTTCGTGTGAAAGCGAAACTTAAAGTTAATCAAAACTCATACGTGCATGCAGATGGTCTGCGTGGTACAATTTACAGGTTATATGTATTTTAGACAGTCTTATCTTAATATGATAACATCGATGCAACAATGATATTGTAAAGAATTTGTAATGTGAAGAATTTGATATATGTGTAAACAACTAATTTATGTATGTATAAATAAATATATTTATGTAAATATGAATATATATAGTTAAGTGACATACATTTACCGATTACATGTATATTTACAGTTCCAGCTCGTACACACGTTTAAAGTTAGTTTGTAAGTTCGCCGAGGAAAAAGAAAAATATTAAATTATTATGCAGATAGATTATATCGATTTTCCAACTTCTTAGCTCTCTCTGACATATCATCTTTCCTCACTTATTTCTATCTCGATAAAATTGGAGAGATGGCAGATGAGCGAAATTTCCGTTCGCAGTATTACGAAAAGGTAAAGCTTCAAAATCTATTTAGTTTACAAACTGAACTGAATTATCTGCTCTGAATGTTGTTGCTTTTTAAATGGCAGGTTGGTTTTCGCAGTGTCGAAGAGAAAAAATCTCTGGAGATACTGCTAAAGGAACGTCCGCTTGACAAAACCAAATTGAAGCAGTTTTGCTTGCGATTCACTGTGCCTGTGGTATATAGAAATTTCTTGTGGAAAGTTTTACTCGACATTATACCAGTTTATGCAGAGAGTCAGGGCTTTATAATGGCTCAGCGCAAAAAAGAGTTTCAGGATTTGCAAAGAGCATTAAAAGTTGCAAAAATTATAGATGATTTTACGAAACCTCCTTTAATATTTCTAGCAATGTGGCTGTTACGCAAAAGAAGAGCAAAAGTTGATATGACTGCTCAGTTAGAATTGCCATTATACAGGTTTGTTATATTCATATTGTTTAAATACTTCAAATTTTTAGACATTTTCATTATAAGTTTTGAAATTTAGAATAGACTTTATTCTGTTTCCAATAGTTTCTCTCTGTGAATTTCAAAAAATATCTTGATTCTTTAAGTCTTAATTCTTAAGATTAAAATATAATACATTATCTATTTTAGAGCTATGAGTAAAATGGCTGAAACGCTATGGCATGTGATCGATGTTGAATCGGAAGAAGAAAAGCTAGTAGATATATATTGGATATTGACTGGACTTTTTGTGCAAGTTGAAAAACTGCAGAAAGAAGTAGGAAAATTGCAAGACTGTACATATGCATTATTGGAAAAAGAGGACGTGGAATTGTATAAACATCTTGTTAAAATTGATGCACTTTATAATCTTCCTTATGATATGTGGTTTTATTCATGCTTTGCTGGCATAATATGCAATGGATCTATTGCTAAGTATATATGTATATTCTATTATAAAACCTGAATTGTAACTTTATTAATTAATTTCTATACTGGCAATAGCACTTGTGGCGATAGCACATGATCATTTATTTGTTATAGGATATGGGATAAAATAACGGTTGGTGCATATCGAATTTTAATATTCGTTGCTGTAGTTACATTAACTACATTGAGGAGATTATTATTAAGATGTGAAAATATAGATCATGTATTGGAGACTATTAATAATGTAAAATTATTAGAATTATTTGAATTATAATATTGTATAATGCAATTATATTTGTGCTTATCTTCATAGAGTTTACATTTTGTTGTAGATAACAGAAGAAACATCAGAAGTGATAGTTAATAAAGCAATTGAATCAATACAACAAAGTGGAACAACTCAACAAGTTGACATGTATTTCACAAAGCATAGTTAATGTTTTGCATAAGATAATGATATAAGAATATATTTTACTCGACACAGTGCGTCTAACAAAACTATCAATATTAAGTTAGTTATTCTAGTCTTTTCAAATTTATCTCATTTAAATGCTGTGTAAAACTGATTTTTATTATTATTTACAACTTTAATATATGAACATTATACTTGTGTGAACTTGATTTTTAATACATCAAATTTCTGATAAACAAATATTTTATTTGTGCAACAACGATAATTTCGTTTGGAGCTTCCAAACAAACATTAAAATGTATAATATTTTTTAAAAAACGAGTATTATCGAATTTTGACATAAAAGAAATCGTTAATATCTTAATTTAGAAAATAATACTTCCGTATGCTTCTGCAAACCCAATTTCTTCGTAATGCACGTAGACATATATGAAAGTGTTATTTCTGTCATTATCAGCGATAACAAGTGCGACAAGGTTGATTGAATTGGTGGGAAAGCGATATTTGTGTGGCACCTATATATATAGTAAGAGTCATGTAGTAATAGTATCCTGCAATACATTCAACATGATTAAGATAAATAAAACTTGAACTAGACAAGGAGAAACACAATCATCTGACTAGTCGTTGGGATAACTCTGCTTGTGTGATATTTAATCGGCTGCTAGGAATGTGCTAACTGAATTGCTGTCTGTGAGAATATAATAATTTATATATTTATATTAATAAAAAGGTAAAGAAAATATTATTGTAAATAAATAATTTTCATTATAAATAACATTTCTTTTGAACTTTTAATATGTAATATTTTTATTTCAAGCATTATATTATTAATATTATTGATATTATTAATTAAAAGCTTTTAAAAATAAAAGCATATATAATTTAATTAAAATTGTTGTTTATTATGGAATTTACTAGATTAAAAGGTCATAGAAAAAATAGAATCGACAAATAATTCGATGTATTAAAAATTGAAAAATAACGTTGTAAAATTCCATGTGATCTCTTCCTCCTTTCTTCTTCTCTCTCTCTCTATTTCTATTACACACACACATACACACACACACACACT